TATAAAAATCAGACATGAAAGTGAAAATATGAGAAAATAAAGAGAAGCAAGATTTAAGCGAAAGGGTTGAGTGAACGAGTTTCCTCTCCGAGTTCATGGAAAATGCAATTAAAATATTTGCTAGCTAGCTGCATTTATATTTGATTTTTTTCTCTCTCAAGACTGATAGCTAGCATTGCACTTTTGGTGGTTTTTCTTATTTTTTCTAAATTAAGTCATAAATATTCACTGGCACCGAGAGAAGAATATTACGCTTTTTTGTCTCTACGATGAGACGAAAGAACCAAAGACCATGATGCACAAATGTCTTAAAAATACAACTAACTTATAAATAATTAAATACAATACAGTATTTAAAAAAAAAAATTACAATTTGCACCGCTGGTATTTAAAAAAGAAAAATGTCGAACGATTCTAAAAATACAATAATTTAAGTAGCAAAAATAATTTCCATCGTCGATTTAAAAAAAAAAAAAAAAAAAAAAAAAATTGATGACAGAAATGGGAAAAATACGAATAAACTAAATTCAGCTCAATAACATATTGTACTGGGCATTTTTATATTCTATCACTAAATCAGGATGTTTTTGTTTAATGTGAACTTTTAAATTATCCAATCTTGTCCTACGGCAACCGCACATGGGACAAACAAAATTTCCTGGATTATGTGTCAAATAATGATTTTTAACATTCGACACGATTCTTCCACAAATTTTGCATTTGCTAGTATAAGTGTGCGGTAACTTTTCAAAAAAGTCTGATACATTCACTCTGTCCATGTCCGATATCGGCACGGATTCAATGCTTGGAGAAGTAAAAAATGTCGAATCTGCAAATAAAAAAATAGAGAAAAATGCGAATCCTGACTCGAAATAGCTGAATTTCACCCAGTCAGGGATATCGAAGAGGACAATTTTTTTTTTGTTTTATACTAAAGTATCCTATAATAGCACAGAATAAGCACCAGTCAAAAAAATTATTAAGAAAAACTATTCAAATCGACGATTTTCCACACTTTAGAATATTATTCTAATTTAGTTTGTTTTTCTTTTGTGAAAAGTGTCGATAAGGTAGCTTTTTTTCCTCACTTGTGATTATTCTGTGATTGATCAAGGAACATGCACAAAAATAATCATAAGGTTTTTTTTTTGTACTCTGTAATAAATATGTTTCACTACTCTACTAACTATAATTATTATATAATTCTTTTAAAAAATTATCGTCATTATTATTTATAACATTATTGATTAGTCTTGTACTTCAGAAAGGCACCACAGAAAGCCTAAAACCTGGTTTATAATCAGCCTATGGGCACAGGGACTAGTTTCTCATGACTACTTCGAGCTGGTATTTCGTAGCTCGAGAATCCTTATTCAGTCTTCGGCGTGTTTCACAACCAGCAATATTGCCATCGACACACGTGCAGTTATAGAATAGATTGCTGACTTACTTTGTAAATATGTCGAAGGAAAAACAATTCAAAATCTAATGTAAAAAATCGGACGTATAAGTAATAAAAATCAATTATTAGCATTTTAATTCAATAGAATTTAATTAGATATAATTTTCATTGAGTCGAATTTTATTTTTATTATTTTGGAGAATTTTTATTAAACCGAATTTTTTATAATACAGAATTTTTATTTATTCCAATTTGTCAGAATATTTTATTTACTCGAATAAAAGTCATTATAATGAATATTAGGTAGAATTTCTATTGGATAATAATTTCAATAAATGAAAATTCTATACAATGAAATTCTAATTGATTCATTAAATTTTATTTTTGTCAGAATAAACATAATAACAATTTTAATAAATTTCTATTAGGTAGAATTTCTATTAAATAATAATTCTAATAAAAATTCTATGTAATTAAATTCTACCTAATAAAAATTCATTAAAATCGCTATTATGTTTATTCTGACAAAAATAAAATTTAATGAATTAGTTAGAATTCCATTGTATAGAATTTTCATTTATTAAAATTATTATCCAATAGAAATTCAACCAAATATTCATTAAAATGGCTTTTATTCGAGCAAATAAAATATTCTGACAAATTGAAATAAATAAAAATTCTGTGAAATGAATTTTTGGTTGTACAAAAATTCTGTAATATATAAAATTGGTTAAATGAAAATTTTGCAATATAAATAAAATTTGTCTCAATGAAAATATCTAATGAAATTCTATTAAATTAAAATTCCAACAATTTTAGAATTTATTCAAGCGTCCCTAAAAAAATTAAAATGAATTCATCATTTCGAGAAAAAAAGAAAAACTACAATATTATTTTCTTTTTCCTAGCACGATAAATAAAATTTAATTAATAATAGTCTTTTTTTAATACAAAAATTGATATATTAAAATTCACAAATTGTTTCACTTTCAAAAAAAAATGAGTCAGTAATCTAATCTACATCTGAATCTGAAATTCAAAATTAAAATTTCAGAAACTTTTCTACCAATCGCCACACGAATGTCGATGGATATTATTTAATACTGATACTATATAATCGTGGTAGGTCAAGGCTGAATTAATAAAAAAAAATAAATAGTATGGAAACTTGAAATAGAAGCGAGAAAAAATTGCGAAAAATTATAGTGGGATAATATCCTAATTTGACTTATCGAAAAGAGAATACTGTGGTCAGGTTTGAATTCTATCGCGAGTACTTGAATAGGGATTAAAGAAATCTCTTATTGCAAGAGACTGAGCAAAATACACTTAAAAATACATCCAATAGGGACAATAAATAATTTAGAATTAGGAATTACGATAGAATACCACTTCGAAGAATAATTGTAATAAATTATGTACGCTTGTCATATTTGACAATGCTTACTCTATAAATTAATTATTATATAAATAAGAATACCTCGCGTCACGACCTTAGACTATCGGGGGAATTAATATTTTTTTTTGTTTAAAGTATATAATACTTGCAAAATCAAAAAGAAGAAATAAAATTTTGTGTATAAATTAATTTTTTTTTCTCTTTCTCAACCACCTAGGTGAGATAAGACGCTTCCGATTTGGCTAGGAAGTGTTTGGCCTCCAAGCGCATAAATGGTGACATCAGGGATCCTTCTCGTATCCCATGCTTCAGTTTAATATGCCTTTTGAGATTGTCAGACCTTGTTAAAGATATCATACAGATGTGGCACTGATACTTGTCAGGGAAATGAGATTTCATGTGTTTTTTTATGTTGGCTACACTCTTTCCACAAAGCTTACAGCATTCAGAACTGAGCTGTGCGGTCTCTAACTTATTCTGACTGTCTTTATTTATGTCCTTTTCTTTTTTGTAAGTCCCTGCCGTTCCTGGAATACAAGGATCCCATTTCAATCATGGATGCAATTCAATCACTCTGCTTTGACACAACAGAATCTACGTCATAATTGTTCAATTAAAAAAAAAAATCACAATCGGAGTTAAAACTCAAACTAATTTTATATAATACGTTTTTTTTTTAATGCACGCTCTACGTCAAAAAAAAGTCAGTCAGAGTAGAATACAGAAGTATAGTCTTCTCGAAGGACACGCTTTAAATCCTTGAAAGGAGATGCGAAGATGCGCAATATGACAAAAATACCACACTTGTTATCTTATCCTACCTACTTTTAGCAACAAAAAAAAAAATATATATATATATATAACGAATAAAAAATAGGAAAACAGTGAGAAAAAATATATTCAGAGAGAAATAGAGAGAAACAAAAAAGGAAAAGCATAAACCTCTACTTAAAAAATAACAAACGCAACAAGTGACAGTAACGAGCAATGAGAAAAGTGATATTGATGAGCAATTCAGATCGAATATGGAAATTCGCAAGGGATTAGCAGCAAATATAACTTTTCATATTGTTCCTTTGGGAAACCAAAAAAAAAAATAAATAAACTAAAATTTTTTTCCTTGGATAGTAAAAACAAAAAATAAATATCCGATTTCGTAACAATGTGTGCTCTCGGTTCTTTCCTCAATACAAGAGACGATGACCAAGACGGACTCGTTGCGCGCGGTCTAGTTGATAACACCATGCAGCAAAAATGAAGTAAAAGAGATACTTGAGAATATGGAAGATCAAGATCACATTAGATACGGTGTTGTAAACGCATAAAGGATAGAGGACAGAAAAAACAGTTAAAAAAGAGACATGCAAAGAGATCCCCGTTGTGAAAAAAAATATTTTTATGTATACAAAGTGCACGACTCTCGAATGTTTTTCAGTATATCTACGTTAATGAATAACTTTTTTTTTTCAAATTATATTTTCTACACTCATTCTTTTTCATGCAGAAAATAATTTAAATCGCAGATTAACAATAATAATTGAAAATATAAACGAGCACTTTGTATTTAAGGTTCGTTTGCAAAAAAAATAATAATAATAATAATAACCGTAGATACAATGTGTAAAACAACGAGAGAAAACTCGACAGAATCAACAACCGCACGCATCAACAACCCACACACCATCCTCAAACACAACGGAGTACACGCATGTATGGTCCATTTGCTTGTACCGATTCCCAAACCATCGCGTGTTAAGTGCTCAATATTAACACACTGATATAATTACTACCACAATGACATAGCAAATGCACGATACCATCACCAAGAACACCAAAAATCTTATCTAATAATTAAAAAAAAAATAATAATATACAAATATATACATATTATTATTATTTATATAGATGTATATTCTCCGTTCTTCAGACTTAACACTCGACTACGCTTGCCAGAATATTATTTTGGAAATAGAGGGATGGCCTCGTCTTAGACGAGTAAATACCAATTATTTCACTTTGAGGTCTCATCGCAAAAGTTCATGCATTTCTCCCTCGATTTCATGGAACTAACTTACGTTTCGATTTTTCTTTTATTTATATACCGCAAAATTTTTTTAAATTTTTTTTTAGAAAATTCAAAATGTAAGTTAATTCCAAAACAAAAAAATTTTTCAAATTAATATGTTTAAAAAATCTTACCATCAAGACCATCGAGCATTTCTGGTGGATTGTGATGTTCAGACGATTCCATCCCCGGCAATGAGTCATTTGGCGTTCCTGTCGTTGGTCCTCCATCTTCATTTAATAATCCAATTGGATGACCCTGCACACGGCAAATAATGCAAAAATTTTAAAAAACAAGTTCATTGATAAATTAATTATTTTTCTTTATACCATTCCCTGTTGGACAAAAACAAAAATAAATTAATTAATATTATTAAAATTTTTCATTAAAGCCAAATGAAAATCCACAATATTGTAAAATAAATAAATAAATTAATTAATTAATTTAAACAGCAATTAGACGAGAAAATTTAAAATATCTTTTATAAATTTTTATTAAACTTTATAAAGTAAAAATAATTTTTTTTTTACAAACTTTTATAGAAATATGTAGTAAAATTGTTTTCTAATCAGTCAGTAAGGGAAAATAAAATTAATATGAATAGCACCATGCAAATTTCTATTTAAAGATTGACTGTTTAGAAAATGTTCTTATACATAATATATATATATATATATATTATTCTGTTTAACATTTTAATATTTCACACTTGAAAGCCTAGATAAACTAAAATGTAACTATCTTTTGATTCATCATACATAACAAATGAAATCACAATCAACGCCATTGTCACTAGTATATATACATCATTCATATTGTTAAATACCAGGAGTTTTGTTTCCTAACGGACGACAAATTTGAACTTCAAAATTGAATTTCGTTTCTTTTTTTTACTTTATATTGATGAATACGGATATGATATCTAAAAATTAAAATTTTTTAAAAATCGCTTTTGACATTTAAAATTAAAAAAATTTAACACTCCTACAATAAAAATACACTGAAAAAAATTTATTTCATTCAAATACTCGATTATTACATCGGTGAAGTTCACAACGTTTATGATCAATGATTTAGATTTTTGTTTGAAAAAATTGTTGTAACTTTTCTTGATTAATAAATTATTAAAAAAAGAAATTTGTAAGCAAAAAATTTTATTTTTCGCGTAAAATATATTTTTTATTTTTAATCGTTGATCGTAAACGTTATAAACTTCATCGACTTCGATTACTTGACTATTATCAAATAAATATTTACTTCAATCAAATAATTTTTTATTTCAATTAAATAAATTGTATTTGAACTTGAAATTTGTATTTGAATTTCTGTATTTGAAATAAATACCATTTAATTGATCCAAAAAATACTTATTTGATACAAATAAATATTTATTTGATAAAAGTCTAGTAATCAAATATTATTTAAATCAAAACGATGCTGAAGTACGTAACGTTTATGATCAACAATTAGAAATAAATTTTTATTTAACACAAAAAATTATAAAATTGTTTACCTAAAAAAATATATTTTTTTATAATTTGACAATTAATAAAAACTACAAGAAATATTTTTCAGGCAAATAATTATACAATTTTTTCATTCCAAAAAATAATTTCCTTAAAAATCGTTTATCATAAACATTGTGCACTTCCGCATAGTGAATCAAATAAATTTTTTTTCAGTGTATACATAAAACAGATTTTACTCCTATAAAGCAACATTAATAATTAATTAATTAACAATAATTAAATTTATCATTTCAAACAATGGAATATTACCAAAAAAAAAAAAAAAATTATAGTTAAATTTTGAAAAATGTTTTGTACAAAAAAAAATTGTAACAAAATATTCCAATTTGTTTAACTATATTAATGTCATGAGATGACTTTATCTAACATTATTGTAAACAATAAACTATATATTATGGTAACAAAAATGAAAATCAGCAAGGCACTCTAAGATATTTCATCACAGTTTAAAAATCACTTAAAAAAATTCTCCTACTTTGGTTTATCTTTATATTTTCCTAAGAAAAATATTAAAAATGAAATTAAACGATGGGAAAATAAATTTATCTCACGATTCGTTATTTTCTAAAATTTATCACAATATTATAATTATGATAAAAAAAAGTTTTTTTTAAAAAAACTGAAAACAAAATTGATGAAAAACCTAATTTTTGTAAATGAATTTCGTATTTTCACTTTCCTTAGCAACACAAATATTATGAGCTTTGCATTTATCATGATGATTTACAATTTCAAGTCTAAAATTACCATTACCAGCAGCAAATGAAGTACGAATTTCAGGTATCGTATCACTCCATTTTCTACAATATTTACAAAACATTAGATTTAATTGATTATCATACTGTAACCACGAGTACAATTCTAACCAATTAGATCTAAATCTTCCTACTTTACGTAATTGTGATGTAGGACGCTGTAACAATGTTGATTGAATTACTGAAATTTCCTGACCTATTGCATTTGAATCATTATTTAAATGATCGGATTTTAAACTATTTCTATTTTGAGAATTTTGTGAACATTCAAAATTATTCATTGAATGAGAATGTGAAGGTAAAATTTGATTGTCTGGAGAATTATATAAAATTTTCTGGTACTCCGGCAATGCCGATGTTTTATTGATATGTAATAAGCCTCCTGACATGATAAGATTCTCTCGAGACACTTGTACAGCCATACTTGGTTGAATGGGATGAGCCAAATTCTGATTATCCATAGTTTCGTCAATCTTCCTATCTCTCTGAACCTCCCACTCGAAATTAGTCTGTCAACAGAGAAGGAAAGGACATGTGTTTAATCAACACATTTCAATTTTGATCTTTAATTATCGAACGCCAATTCTTTTTTTTTTATATCAATATAGATAATCCCTTCCTTCCCGTTTTTCATTCAAAGTAGTTGGACGAGAGATTTTTCCTTTTTAGCGGAAGAATAACGAAACCATGTTTTAAAAATAATCTCCATAATGTAAAATCCGTTCTTATATATATTTTTTTCTAAATCTAAACAAAAATGCCATTCTTAAAGATGATTTCCTTAAAATTAGTCCTCTTGATTACAAGGACATTTAAATCTCGAAGTTTCACAGCTGAAATCGCTGAAATCAATTGATAAAGCACAAATTCTTTTTCCTTTTTTTAAAACTAAGAACTATATTCAAGACAATACTAAGAAACAAACTCCAATCATGCAAATATGACTAACAACTGCAATTGACATATCAGACACAGAATTAATTTCTTTTTTATAAACGACTTTTAAAATTCTTTTTTTTTATCACCTAAAAATATTTTAAAATGGAAACAATTTTAAATAATTTACATTTCAATTTATGCATTTTAGTTATCAAATGACATGTTATAATTTTAATATTAAATACGAATAAATGAATTAAAACTAATTTTTAGCACGATATATTAAACAATTATAAATTACAAGAAATTAACTTTAATAAAATACAGCTGTATACTGTAAATATTTCTTACAAACCGATATAATTATCTTTTCCTCAAAAATTATTTTTTTTTTATCAAGGGACTTATCTAACCTATTATGTATATTTGAATATTTATTACTTTGCTTTCAAGTGTATTAATCGTGAAAAAATAATAATGCTAAGAAATATTCTAACTACCATATTTAAAACTAATTTTTTGTAAAAAAAAAGGAAAACCGTCTCATGCAATTAAAAATCTCACAAAAAAATGTAACTTTAAAGGTTATAGTAATAATATAAAAAAATAAATAAATATTAATTTCTTACTGGGAGGGAAATGTTTTCATGGAAGTCAGGCATATGATGATCCAGTTCCTGTTTAATTGGGGCTTGAGGTTGAGATGCAGGAGATATAGGTCGACTACCATCCTCTGCATCACCTCCCATAGCGTTATTTAACTTTGGAATCACCGTAGGACTTGATTTGTAACTACATTGAGAAGATGCCTGCAACAAACAAGACAATTGTTAACATTTTTTTACAACACTAGTTTTTCTACTTTATAAATAATAAAAAAAACTTTATTACAATTTTAAAAACAGTAAAAAAAATTCTTCATTTTTTTTTTAAATCTTTCAAATTCTTACTAAACTTTTTCTCTAATATCTAGACATGAATGTAACACATTGACGATCAAGTTTTCAGGTTCAAGGAACGATGAAAAATGAGGTCAAGGTTACGAAGAGAAAGCGTAAATACTAAAAATAAAATATTTTATCTATGAGGGCAAAACATTCATGTTAATTTTAATAATAATTAATTCTTTAATTGAAAACATAAAGCAGGTAAAAAATATCGATTTAAAAAAAAAATGACTAATTTTTATACTCAATTTCAAATAACAATAAATTTGATTTGCTTATTTCAAAATTTAAGTGTATTTCTTTCAATTTTTCAACAATATTTTATAACAAATTAATATTTTATTTCATTGATTCAATAATACTGTTATACTGTTCAATCATTTATTGTTTATTAAACACAAAAAAATAATTATCACGTTTTCATTTTGGTTGTGTAAACTACAAAATATATATATATATATATGTATATATATATATTTAATGACTAAAGATTATGCAACAGCCTATAATTTAGAAAAAGAAAACTGAAGTTCGCATTCTCGTTTAAAGCTAGAAATACCGTTTCAAACAACAAACGCATATTGTGACATACATTTCCTGCTTAAATTATCGTATACGTTGTCATAGTAAATTTTTCAAATATATATATATATATATATATATATATATATATATTTTTATGTAAAACAATAATACAAATTTTGTAATTTTGACAATTACAACAACAACAACAACAAAAGAAACCCAAAATGAAAAACTATCTTTTTTTTTAGATTTCAATTTTCTTTCTATAATTATCTCAATTTTTAGTTGAATAATAAAAATTATAAAACTTTTACTAATAAATTGACAAATAAAATTTTATTCCGATGATAATCACACAAGGATCATAAGAAAAAATTAAAAAGTAATTAAATTTCTAAGAATGACGTATGTATGAACAATCATGCAAACATACATACACACACACGTCGATGTTAATTTGTACAGCTGCTTTTAGAATTTAATAATGGTATAATAAATTTATTTTTTGAGTTTCGTTTTTATTAAAAAAAAAAAAAATTAAGAGAAAAGATAAATGTTCAAATAATACAATTTATTGATATGGAAATTTCATAGGAAAAAAATTTATTGTCTTCAAATAAAATTGAAATATAAAATAGAAATATGAACACATTAATGTAATGTGTAAACTTTAACAAAAGACTATAGTGTAAGATTTTAATGGACGCTGTAAAGCAAAATGAGGTAAAAGATAAGAGATAAAGGAACTTGTTCTTCCTTGCTATTATGTAATCAAAAATTATACATAGCTAGATCACTACAAAAATCTATTTTATGATTTAAAAAAAAAAAATGCAAAAGAATTTTATATAAAAAAAAACAACAAAATATAAAATAGTACATATAATTAGACAATTATGTTCTCGTTGAAAAGCACAATGTGCAATATATTTTTTATTGTAATATATTTCACTTAAAAATAGAATAAGTTTGTAATGTAATTTAATTTCCAAATTTACTATTTAAAAATTGTAGAAATATTTTCTTTTAATTGCAACGCATTTTTAACTATGAATATGAAATTATTCAGGAAATAAATGATTTTCTTCAACGTAACGTTTTTAAAAGTCAGCTGATTAGAAACTTTCCGAGTATTAAAATTTTTTTGAATTTATGTAACAATTTTACAAAAATTTGTATTGTAAGAATATTTTTTTTTCAAATGTAAAGAATTCTGAAAATGTTTATTAAATTTTTAAAAATATTCAGCTTTATGTGCAATAATGTAAATAAATGACACATTTTGGAAAATAAAAATGAAAAAGAATAGTTTTTTATAATAAAAAAAAAAAAAAAATCATGCCTTTTACTAGAAAGGAATAGAAATCGCTGGACAAGATGGCAAAATAATAAAAATAAATAAAAAAATATGTAAGACAGTTATATGTGTGAATAGAAAATAAATATAGAAAAGGAATTTGAAGAAGGAAGTAAAGAAAATAGAAGGAAAATAATGTAAGATTAATTAAGTTTTCTTACCTGAGAATCTGACAAGAACCGTTCACTGGGTGGTCCAGTTAGAGAAACATCGTAGCTACCCGAGACCTTTCGTTTCCTTTTTTCAGGATGAGCCTGAAGACTTGGGGAATCGGTGTGCCTGACACTAGATTGAATTTCTGGCTCTGGCGAAGGACTTTTTTCTTCAGATTTGTTATTTACACTATTATCCGTGAGACCTCTGATCTGTAACGCTTCTGCGGTTTTAAGGAACATAGGCAGCAGATGCTGACTCACGTTAACCTCGCCTTTGTACATAAAATGTAATAAAGCTTTCATCTCCGTGTCGTTGACATCCTTGAGGAATATTATGGGATGAGGATGTGTATTTTGGAGGAAAATATTTTCGAAGTACGGACTGCACGCTGATAGTATTGTTTGATGTGCCTTGAAAGTTTCACCGACACAGGCCAGGGTAACGTCACATAGTGCTTCACGCGCTAGCAATGAGCTGAGGACGTCGGTGAGGTTGGCCGGATGATTATTCCACCGGAGGCAATACTGCTGGTCCATCTTGTCTATCTCCAATCCCGACCCTACAACCAAACTATCTGTCCTGAGGAATTCGCAACGTAACCCAGCCACCGTGATGCTGCTCTTGGCTAACCCTTTAAAACTTTTAAACCCTAAAATTCAACACTCGTTCTTGACATGCACTCTCTACCACGAGGGTGTCCCACCTTAAACTCTATCACGATCCTAGGCCCACACTACGTCCTCCGCGAATCTGCAAATGTGCCACATTGCAGTATAACTGTAAAACCCTTCAGGGTTCACGGGCTGCTACTACACGTGTCAAAAACATTTTTTCGCATAACCTCGGCAAACACCACGAGCCGTCGCGAGAATTTTCTATATGTTAAGCGCTCAAAACAATATTTGATGAGGTTAGAATTAGAAATTGCGTCGCAAGCAAGTACCACCCACGTATGCGCGAAAACCCGAATTTTGTGAGAAATGTTTTCGGTAACGTCAATATTCGCGAGGCTTGGGCGCCATTGTCGAGAGTAGCTATACACGAACACGAACCTTCTCCTCCTCGAAACTACTACTATTACTCATGCCCAATATACACGAGATGTCTAGACTTCTTTCTCCTTTACTACCGTATTCTTTGACGAATTTTTAAGATAGACACCCTCACCATTCTCGCTATTCTTCACATTCACTGCACACGGTTTGTTTATAATCAAATATTACTCACCTTTTGCAAACTTTTTGCCATTACAACGCCACAGTCCCTTAACGTTCACTACCATGCGAATCTGCCAATGCCTACGGCCTTATTTTTAAAATACTTTTGACCTTCGTGCATCTGCCGTCTGTCGCGAGACGTAAAAAGGGCGCTTATATTCAAATATTTTATATATGACTTTCACTTATATATCACTATAACTTTTTTTTTATCTCTAATTTATAATTTTGATAAAATAATGAAGTTATATGTTAACATAAATTCCGATTAATCGATACGTGAAGTTCTTAGTTTTGTTTGAAATTTAATATTTGTGAATGAATATATATGTGTATTGTACAACATAACCTCAACAAGTACTGTTTTGTTTGGCTGCACTGCTTGACGACGCGGTTTACATTTGCCACGTTCTGACGTTGTGATGAAACGTTTTAAGCATGCGTCAAATTCAGGGGAAATATACATATCACACAGAAATATTTTATATGTTTTGTATACACATACACGAAATTATCACCTGCAATATCAAAACAAATCTGTGTATATTGAAGCCTAACAACGTGATGAAACAAAATTTTATTTATGCCACAATTTTTTGAGGTTAGAAAATTCCCAATGGTTTGTAAGTTTATTTTTCTGTTTATAAAATTTTCTTTAAAATAGTGAACAATATGTTTTCATTTTGAAAATCTAGTTATTTTTATCTTTTTTTTTTTTATTGAATATGACACGTGACTCAAGTAGTCTATTGTTGAGATGGAGAAATCAATGCAGATGTATGATCGACTAAATTGTACATGAAATGTACTACATATGTTATATATTTTTTTATATCGTATATTGTTCACTATTAATAATATTGCAATATTTTATTTTATTCAAAATAATGAATAAGCTACTTTAATACTTTAAATTTTATACTCTCTAGATAAAAATAATCACGGAAGCTGTTTTTATTCTAGCAGTGTTTATTATAATTCTAGTCAAATTCTTTAATTTGAAAAATAAATGTTTAAAGTTTAAATGAAATATTAGAGATTAATAAATCGCAATAATTAATAAAAATTTTTAATATATCTAATTTTGGTAGTTTTGAGAAATGAAAAATTCAAGATTAGAAAACTATTCGATTTTATTTAATTATGCTTTCCAATTTAATTGAATAATTTTATAATTTTTGAAAAGTAGTTAAAAAAGTTAAATATGTACTAAAATTATTTATTAATATACAAATTTTTATTAAAAGGCGTGAATATAAAATTTATGCAAACTGGAAAATATCAAAATATACATATATAATTATATTTAAAAGCATTTCTTGTGAAAAATTACGTTAAGCAGGATAATTTTTCTTGTTCGTCTATGGTTGGAATTATTGATTTTTTGTAATTTCCATCACTTTCCACATATTAGGTTTACCCTTCTATATATTCCCATATAATGTTATCTCTTTTTAATCCTTTTTTTTTTATTTCTCTTGCGAATTGTGGGAAAAATTTACCTACAAACCAGGGTTAGTATATTTTTTTCTGTTAGTGCAAAAAATTTTCATTCCGTTCCATTGAACGAAAAGGCTTATTATATATACACCATAATAGTTTCTTTTATCATTTATAGTGATGAACACTTTGACTCCTCATTTACAAATCATTAAGTGGAAAAACCATTTTTGCTGATAGATAATTTTCTGCAACTGCTGTTTATTTTTGTAATATAGATTATATCTATATAATATTTTAATATAGTTTCCGTATTTTCCAATTTTTAATCAGTTGGCGACTTATAATTTTTTTTTTAAAAGAACTATTTGATTTTTTTCTTAAATATTCTCGAGTAGAATATACGTATTTATTCGTATTTTCTTTTTTTTTATTTATATCTATTTTTTACCTAATATTTTTTTATTTATTATTTTTTTAATTTCAAAAATTCTAAGTCTATTTAAATAATTTAATCTTCTGAATTAAATTTTTTAACTAATTTGAATAAGTTATGAATTAGTGAATACTAATTAAAAAATAAATAAATACAAAATTTTTTAATTTCTTTAGTTAATAAATTAATTATATATTATATAATTCTGAATTTTAAATTAAACTGATCTTGAAAAAAAATTCACAACAATTGTCAATATTTTCGACTGTGGTACTTCTTTAGGTTTTCCTCTCTTCAAAATAAATATGAATTTATATCTCATAATTTTTACTGATTAAAAGTGAGCTTATAGCTACTTATTCATAACAGTTTCGTTTTTCCATATAGTCAATTTTAAATTTCTTATCAATTTTTGAGTCTCTAAATTTGACACACAAAAAAAAAATTTTACTTGATTCAAATACTCGATTACTTTACTATTATCAAATAAATATTTCCTTGAACCAAATAATTTTTATTTGAATCAATTAAATTGTATATTTATTTCAAATACAGAAATTATTGGTTCAAATACAGTTTATTTAATTCAATTATTTGATTTCAAAAATTATTGGGTTCAAGTAAATATTTATTTGATAATAGTCAAGTAATTGAGTATTTGAATCAAATAAGTTTTTTTTCAGTGGCAGGGTGGCTGGGAGAAATTGGAAAATTTGTTACTAAATCGGGAAATTTTTCTTTTATCCAAAAATTCTGAAAAATGTTATCGAAAATAAAAAAAAAATTTGCTATTTTGCTTAAAATTTATCTGTTTTTAATTATTCTAGATAAAAATACTGTCAATTAATCTCATTTCCCCAAAAGATTTTTGAATATCTAGTTTTTGTGATATTAAAATATTTAAATTTTAAATGTAATTAATAAGTTTATAATTTAATTTAATTCTATAATAGTTTTTAAATTTTAATTAAAAAATATACAGAGTGATTTTTATGTTTTGGACCCCATAAAAAATTTTTTTTCGTGTTTTAAACAAAAAATGTGGAATTAAAAAATTTTTTTTCGGGGAACCGGAGCATAAAAATCATACTTTATAAATAATAAATGCAAATTTTGAAAAATAAAAATTACTGTTTTATAATTGTTTGAAAATTTGTGACCGGGAAAATACGGGGAATATAATTTCATAAAAAAAAATTGGCCACCCTGATTTGAATTTTATATCAAAATTAAAAAATCAAAAATCCAATATGGTGAATAAAAATTACAAAAAATGGTCGGATTATCATGAAATTTGGTATCATAAAGTTATTTAGTTTTCTACATCCAAATATGATACCTTTTTTTGTAGAGAAATTAAAAAAAATTTTTGAATATTATTAAATAAAAAATATTTTTAGAAACTTTACATTAACTCTCTAAACCTGAATTAGTAAAAAATTTAACTTATTTGAATGACTAATTTTTTTTTTACTTTTGTACCTACACTAAATTCAAAATCCTAATTTCAAAAATTAGATTTACGTTTTTTGCGCGTGAATCTTTACAAAAGTATATACAATTTTATCAAACTATTTCATGTTTTAATTTAAAAAAAAAACTGAACAAAGTTTTCTTTATTGCTTTAATTAGTACAACAATATATATAGCGTTATGAAAAAAAGCTCTAAAAAAATGCATTATAACTTTTTCTCAGCAAATTGATCATAAAGTTTCTTTGAAAAATTTTTATTGATTCAAAAGTGTAGCTATACACATTTTTTTAAGAAACTTTCTTTTTTATTGTTAAAAAAGAGACTCGGCGCTTTTATCATTTCAAATTATACCTTGGTAATGGAAAAATTTGATTAATATCTGAGAATTGGAAACTTGTCGCTAAGAACAGTCCAACTGCAATTACTACACTGTTTAAAGCAGAACACGAAACTTAACTGCCAACAGAATCTTTCACTATGGTTAATCGCTATTTCACAACTTTATTTTTCATGATGAAAAATTCTCAAAACCTCGAATAACTTTTCGCTTTAAAGTTTCGTTTTTTTTCTGTTAATAAAGAACTTTGTATTTGACGCACGTAGAACTTCTATATCCATAATCCAGTAATAATGAATTTACATTTATACTCGCAACGCTACTGTGTAGATTTATGTTCTAAATTTATTATTAATGTGAATTTTTTTAATATTTATTTTGATTAAAAATTTTCAAAATTGTTTTTTATATTATTAATTAAAATTGGGTTCAAAATTAAAGAAACAATATTATTTTTCAATTCAATGGAACATATTTTTTTGTTTGAATAAAATAAATTTTCGTGAAACTGATAACTTACGAAACTTTGAAAACAGTTGACAACTGTAAACATGTTTGTGTAGTTTGTCAATTGTTCGCCACTGTTTGGAGGTTTGTTTTTTGTGCTGAGGAGGAGTAAAATTTATTTTGATATATTTTTAACTCATTTTTGGTAACTATCTATTTTCTATGGTAGAGAGTGTGTCATAAACAAACATGCTATTTTAAACAGATTTTTCAAAAAGGGAAAGCCAAGAGTTGGTAAATACATAATTCGGTTCGCAAATTTTCTTTTCCTAATAAGCAAATTTAATTCTTCGACCGGTTCATTTTTTTAATGAAATTTTCTAAAAAAAATAAATAAAACGTACCTTTCATATGAAGAATAGATCTTCCGATTGTGATTTTATTTTCGTTCATTATTATTATTATTGATGGACAAACCATTATTATTTTGAATAGCTAAATGTCTCAGAAAAAAAATTATTGCCGGGAAAAATATTGCTAGTTTTTCTTTTTTTGGTCTTGAGTCTTCAAAGTCTTCAAAGTCGATCTTCAGTTGAAGCGCGTTTTAATGCAAGCGTGAAAATTTCCACAGATTTATCAACCGTGTTATCAAAGAAGCTTAAAGAACTTAATATAGACTCTTTAATTTAAAGATTGTAAATAGTCTTGACTCTCTCTCTTTTCTTTAGTAGATACTATTTATTTTACTGATTGAGTATATATTTAAGAAAGAGTAAAATCATTTCTTTCACGATAGAAAATTCGCTTTTTCAAAAAAATTTCTAATAAAAAATTTCTAATAAAAAATTCTTTTGAAAAGATAAAAGAGGAAGGGCTGTGACAGTTAAATTTTGAAACGACGAAAGTTTTTACTGACGGAAAACAGTATTGTCGTGAGTGCACAAGAAATATTGACTCTGCATGCTATACCAAACGAGGGAACACGAAATTCGATTCGAGTGAATGTAATCACCACGAGGACGTCTAAATTGACGTTCGACATGCGATCTGCACGAGGAAACTGAAGGAAAACATTTTTTTTTCTCAGTAAAATTGACGCTGTCAAAAATTGTTTTTGAACTCGCGAAGGTTTGTGCGATATTGCATGTCAATTTTAAATATTTTCGGGAATTATTGACATATTTAGAATGCTTTTTGTTGTAATTTTCCATTTTTTTTTTTTTGGCGTTACGTAGGATCGTAACGTTCATTCAATAATTTATCGACAATTCTTTTGATAAAATTCTTCATGACACTTGAAGATATTTCTTTTGTGCCACGAATGTTATAGAGATTTTGCATCTTGGAAAAAGCTTACATAACTTGGAAAAAATCGAAGATTAGTAAGGTTTCCCGCGCGTTTAGAAGGTGGAGAAACTGTTTTTTTTTTTTTTTTGAATAGCCCCTCCTCTCAATTAGAATAAAGA